CCCCTTGTCGGGGATTATATTCTAAATAAATTTGCCTTTGCTTACCCCAAGTTGGTTTGTCTAGGGCGTGGCTATATTTGTTATTTTCCCCTTAAATCTACTTTCCTTTTCCGAATTCCCTGTATCCATTCCTAAAGAATCTTGGTGACAATATTATTGTTTTGAATTTTTACTTTCAATAATCGACAGCATACATTTTTCTGCTTACCCCTGACTTTTACTCTCTGAAAAATATATCCGATTATACTTCCAGCTTTATCGGTGCTTCTTTTTAATATTAATCCTCCAAGATTTTCCTCTGTCTTTTACCTGACCCCCCTGATTTCCAGTTACAATGAATTTCAACCTAATCTTAAATTATTACGGTCCTTGGATCCTTAATCTGGGTGGAAGGGGGTTACTCCTCACGCAAAAGTGATCAGTGTTTCCTGCTTCGGCCTCTCTTCTCTTCTCTTATTCTTGCATTAAGTTTACAATGCTATTGTTTACGTTTTGGTAGATCTACGAATTGCTTGTAAAACAGAATACACTAATGAAAGACAGACAGAATATGACCAGAGAGGTTGATTACTGGAGACAACAATTACTCGCGTCACGAAAACTAGATGACGTGACACCTACTGACACAGAAAGTAACGCAAGTGTGGCGGATAACATAGATTCGTAGCTCTGATTGGTTGGTATTTGAATGTTGTTTTTATGAGTCTGATTTTTAAACAGGAGTCGAAAAATCTTTTATATGATTTTCTCATGATGAACTTACAAGGAAAATAGTTCAATAGCGATCTATCACGACCCTCAAATATTTTTATATATTTCTAATACATTTTATTAGTTGTTTTTAATGTTTTAACACATGCTTTTTACCGGCATGTTTTAAGGTATTAAAACTAGGTAAAATTTCTATGAGATTCATTTATATTACTCAATACACCCAAATGAGTAATTGATAATATAGTTGAACATATTTTAATTGATCCTGAATTAAGCATGTTTTTTTTAAAAAAAGGCATGCATTTGAAATGGATCCGGCCAAGATATGTCGTATTTTATGTCTTTTACCAGAGATCTTAGTTTCAAATAAAAGACAAAAAAATGTGACCACACCTATCTATACCCATGCCAGAATCTAGGCACGAAGCAAAGTCGAATCTTATTCTGCGCCGCACTGTGAGACTGGTAGCGTGGKTATCCTGTTTCTGAGCACAGAACCATTTTACGCACTAGTTCTGAAGCATGCAGCAAATGTAAACACGCCGTAATTCYAATGAAAATATAAATTTGTATATCTTGAAAATACAAACGCGCATATTTCTTGTAGCGTCGTTGTCACACTATCTTTAAAGTGTTTTACAGATTATACCTACAGCACTTGAACTCATACCTAACCATCCCTTGTGGATAATCACTTCTGCGCTTAAGAACAAACGTTTGAATAAACTCATTCGATCTACACTGTACGTTGTGTCGGTCCAGAAACATTAACTCGCCGTCTGCGCGGTGGTTCCAGCTGGTCCTAGCCCTGCGGCAAGTCACATCGAATCCATCAAAGCGATTTTCAACCATGTTGGCTTTACTTCTCAGTTCTACGAAATCGGCCTCTGTCGTCTGAAAAAAAGATTTAAAATATATATGAAGCGTGGAAAGGGGAAAGTAGGCTGGAAGGGTAATAGACAAAGCACGAGGGATGGATAAGGCTTGAAAAATAGTACCGTACACGGGTATGATATACGGAACATCCTTAAGGTGGCTCGTAGATTTTCCCGATCATGCTTCTGATTTGAAGTGGATGGCTTTTCCTTTAGCTTGATCGATTAGATTTTCATCAAACGCGCATGCGTATTCATGATTTCTCTTGCATTTTCCAAATTGATTTATTTCAAAGCTCATCTGCTAGAAATACTGTTCTTTAGAATCATATTTACTTGAGTGATTAATTTAGGGCCATGCACCCAGACGTAGTGCAGAAGCACACTGCTGTATCAAAACCTTACCGATTGTAGACCTTCCAGCACGCGCATTTTGTCTCTGTATCGTGTGATATCCATTTTTCGTATTTCGAGATCTGCCATGATGACTGATACTTTTCCTTGTAGCCTTCCGGCTAGTTTATTGACAGAAAACTATTGCATAACAAAAAGAAAATTAATAAATATGTGAGTACTTATGAAATTATAAATATTCTTAAGCGCTGGTAAGATCAGATAAGAGCTAAGAATAGCCAAATTATTATTAGCTTAAAAGGTGACTAATAGCTAAAATTTTATTACTAATATCGCTCGAGTAGGTATTGTATATTATATCGTTGGGGCGTATCCAGTGGGGTTCTTGGGTGTTCGTGATCTCCACCTTAACATTCATGGTTCCTACTGTCCTTAGTTATCGTTGCTGTGTTATTCGACTGGAAAAACGGCTGCAACGGTGATTGGTCCGCTATTGTCTGGTCTGAGTAGATTATTTGTAATGCGCATGAACAATGTCATTAGAGGAGAGGAGGTAGGGTGACCTGCATGTGAGGTTAGTTGTAATCGATCTACCCCCCCCCCCCTCCACCCATAATAAATCCAAGATGTGCCCTTGAACGTGGTCTTACCATCGATGCCTTATCCGCAATGAGGTTCTCAAAGTCTTCGATCATGTCGTTTTGCTTTTGTATTTTTTCATTCTGTGCTTTTATAGTTGATTCCATTGAGCTCAGCTTCTGTGAGAAAGCCATTAGGGATCCTATGACAGAAGGATTGAGGGCCACAGGGCTTGTTGGCCTTGCGGACTGGCGCTACAAATTTATATGAACAACTGAGAAAAATTCCTGAAAAATTCACTAACCAAAGGAGGGGAGGGGAGGGGTGTGGTTTGCACCAACGGATGCTCCTTTAGAGGTAAAATAGAACTAATTGGATTTTTTTTTTTTTTTGGAAAAATGATAAGGACGTGTACTAGGATCTACTATGGCAGGCAAATGGGTGAGCAGAGTCTCGAACATTGTATTTTAACACTGAAACTACGATATTATAAAAATATCATGGTGCTCCTCCCCCCACCCCCAGAGGATCCAGTCATCGCATTTAACGTCGTCTAACTCATCGTATTTAATATTCACGAGTAATTTGTTAAAAAAAAATTTCGTCTTATGATTTCTAAATATTAAAGATATCGGATAATTATTGTATTTCGAACGCAAAGGAGCTCAGGAATCGGTCTATTCGTCTTCTCCCAACGACACCGATAGTTTGTGCTGCTTAACGAACGGATCGTGAGAAGAAACAGTTGGCTGATCGTGAGTTGATCATACTTCTTACCTTGTATCGCTTGAGTAGTAGAGGATTAGAACATGAATGTTGGATAACGAGTACTACTAGGATAAACACCAGCATGTTAGATGCGGCCATCTTGATTTGCTTGCGTTTATTATGACACCCTGCCTTTAAGACTATAGGTTATTGTCCATAATTGACATATCGAAACACAATATCTATGTTTTAGATCATTACATGCAGTATTGTCACGCTACGGTCATGACCACATCTTTTCAGCCAATCACAGCGCGTGAGATTACTGCTTGTCCAATCAATTATTAGATTTGTGACCGTAACAGTCACCGCATATCTCCTACAAACCATTCGTTTTTCTCGGTAATACAAAATCTAACCAACACATCGACTTTAATAAAGTGACACCTAAAAGTTTCTGGTATAAATCCGACTACATACTCTTAACGGCTTGACTAGAATTTATATATTGGAGAGATATATAGATATATTTTATATACAAGATTTGTGCAAGATCTTCTGTGTTGACATTTTTGTCTCGTCTCCTGACGTAAAGCGTTGGTCACCGATGAGTGATAGAGACTTCAGTAGGCAGAAGTACTCAACTTACACCAGATACAAAGCTGTATTGTTCCATCGTGCCTTCCAAGATGGCGGCGCAGTTCGTTATTGTCTTGGTTGTACTCTACTGTGTTGGTGACATTCAGCGTGTATCAAGTCTATCATTTGACAAAGAGAACCTAGGCCGAATTAAGGTAAATTGGTTTATTTTATCGTTCTTGATGATATTATTTTTGCTGTCTTTATCGTACGCATAACAGATGTGGAGTTCTGCTCAGTTCTATTTTGATTTCAAGTTGTTTTGGGACGCATCAAATTGAATTTATTCCTCTAGCATTATTAACTGATAAATATCAGCCCCAATTCATATTGTTGTCGGATTGAAAAGTCAAAATGATAGAGAGGATGGCTGTACATGGACTATCATGCCTAGTAGTTCCTAACTCCCTCCCCTTAGGGTAGAAATTATAAAAAAAGACCCCCCCTCCCCTTGCCGTTCCTTATGAGGAGAAGGGAAGATTCAAGGGCAGATTAACTGCTGATGATGATCCATGTTCCCGAATGCAAGGTTACTTTTACCTATACTTTCATCTAGTCTACCTTCATTGGAAAAACTTGAGTTGTGCCCAAAGTGACCTCCTGGGGTAACTTTCTAAGAAAAACATATCGAACAAATCTTCTGTCTTCCTTCACTAATAGCCATGCTCACAAGGCTAAGATAAGAGTTATTTTGAATATTAGTGGTACGTCGTAGAAGGATGATGATGGGAATAATGAAGACGATAATGCCGGTCATGAGGATGTAGAACGGGCTCTTGAGGGAAGGGTTGGGGGGGGTACTTGCCTTCCCCCAAGAATCAGAGGGGTGTTGGCCAGATATCCACTGACGATGAGGACAACGATAATTCAGTTTCCGTTTCTTTCTTTCTTGTAGCGACATGTAGGAGAAGAGTCAGTTCAGTCGGTCTTGCAGTCATTCATTTCTCGAATTGATGCCATGAAAAAACAAGTGCAACAACAGGATAAAACACTAAGCACTCAAAACAAGGAAATAAGAGATTTGAACTGGTATCTCAGACGAAAGGTATCTCTTACCTGCTAGAATATCGTGCGGCTCACATCTTGATACAATCGTTTTCTATGGATTGTAGTCAGGGACCGCAAAGGGGCTTCAATGACCTCCTTACTGTTTTTTCTGATACGCTCAGTTGCGAATACATTGTCGGACATAGAAGCTGAGATCGAAAGGTATTCTGGAAAGTAACATCATCCTCTGATGTATTCATTAAGATACACAGTCGATATTAAACGTGTTAAAAGCCTCCATGCTTCCTGTCAGAGCAACAATTTATGAACATTCCAGAGTTGTATCACTAGATATCTCTCGTTAACGTCCATTTTGGTCTCAGCTTCAATGAACAGTTTGAACCCCACAGTGATTTTGCAATAGGCCCTTTGCAGCTAACGGTCACATGTCCTTTATTCTGAAAAGCCTTATAGAGGACGAATAAAGTATGTATGTATGTATGTCTGTACTGGAGAGCACTCTTTAGCTACTTGTCAAGAATCGAATGAAACGAATGTTCCACCAGTGTGTTACGAAATGCAGTCTTATTACGATCTCTCGAAACAGGTTATAGAAAGTGTGTTTGCTCACCAGTATAATTCAACCATGGGAATCAAGATGTTCATTCATTTGCTCTCAGTGAATTAATCAGCACGTGATTACTGAGCTGCAAAGGSCCTATTGAGTGTATACACTGAAGTCTCACACCGTAMTTTAGTCTCATACATAGAAGCCATCTTCCCTACTCACTTTCAAGGGTGTCTCGTGTATGATCGTTATTGGAGCTATGAGTATCAATAATAATTAATAATAATTCAAATTTATGTAGCGCAAGTTCCGAGAGCTCGTTGGTGCGTGCTTAACGACAATAATAACTTTGTATTCGTTACAACAGGGTACTAAGGAAAGACTTGGGGAGATAGAAAGAGATGTGGATCACCAAACACTGATACTCAAACATGCTGTTGACATCAAGTCATTGAAACAATTCAAAACTTCAGTCGATAAATTCGAAAAAAGAACTAAAGTAAGTATTAGAGTACCTCTCTGGTGGTATGTACAGGTGTAATACCTATTAACGACTCTTAAAACCCCAGTGTATGCGGGCTTAGCCTCATTTCTGAGGTCGGTAAACAAAAGCAGAAATTAGAATAAAAACAAAACAAGCAACTCCTGGATTCGAGTCTTAAGCACACATACACTGTAGTTTTAAGAGTCGTCGATATACCTCAAATATAAACATATATATATTATAACAAAACCCTAATTTCAATATATGAGGTTATATATGTTGATGGTTTTTATAGCCGCCATGTTGGATGAATAGAACAAAAAATTCGTCATTATTATACCTCAAATAATCCTCCAATCACATCTCCGTATTTAATTGTTGCGATGTTGCGCAGCAACCTATTGGACTGCAAATAAACTTGTTATGGCACTATAATGGTCTTTTTATTGAAAAAAATATTTGTTCGATATAAAAAAACACCTATAGGATTGGTCCTCGCCCATTATGGCAGATATTGAAGTCTCGACTTCGTATGTATTAGCCTCTTTTGTCATATCATCCAACATGGGGGCCTTGTTTTTTGTCATTCTCTTGGGAGTGATGATGATTGCGAACTACCCAATAAATTTTCAATCAATTCTTAGGCCTTATCTGCTGGCGTCCAAGAACGCAAGAAAATCATTGATGAAATTTATTCCCGAATCTTTCTTCAAGACGGGAAGATTGTTTGTCGTAACACCTTCACCTCCTGGCAAAAGCAGGCAAATTACAAGATCGGAGCATTGGATAAACATTATATCGAGTGCAGGGATGACGAACTTCTGCAGCGGTTTCTTTTAGAAAGAAAAGATGGCGAGCTCGATTCTGTGGTGCGCTTTAAATATAGATGTTGTCGGTTTAATGTCAAAGACAAGTGGAAGAAAGCACCGAAGAAAATGGCGAATCAATGATAAAACACTAAATATCTCGAATTCTGTTCTAGCCTTCTCTTTAAAGATTTTCTCKCAGTTATTTCGACATGGAATATTATGGAAAAATATAATATATATTTTAAACATGCCTTTTTTCAACGTCAAAACTATCTAGAAAATAGAAAGCCATGGTTTTTAACGATTTTTAACGGGTCGATTCTAGATGTTTCCATAAACATATGATTCTGCGCGATACGTGCATATGCGTTATTTAACACCGAGGTAGAACAGCAATAATATAGAGACAATTTCTGCTTGTAGGTTAATTTTAGCTTTTTTTTCTTTTAGCTTTCACGGCTCGTTTCTCCAAACAATTCTTTATCAAGAAAAATATTTCTTCCGATTTCCGTATCAACTTTTATATCATAGGATTTCCCATTTTTCTTCCTTCCAAGCAAGATTTTATTTTTAGCTCCTGATCTAACCTTGTAATCATTTGCCCAAGCTATTTTTAATTCCTTGTAAAGGGAGTTGATTTAGTTCTTGTTGATTAGTTCATCAAGATATTGTGTTATTATTATTGTTCCAGTTAGCTATACTAATCTTTTTTAGTGTTTCCTGTCAAACATCCCTCCAATTCCCACGCTTTCACCTTACCTTTTATTTCTACTGAACGTTCACTTTGATATATATTTCGAAAAGACCTTGAATCCGAGTCGCACAAAAATAGTTAAATCACAAGGCAAAATCGAAATTATGAGACTAATGTTATAATAATAAATAAAAATAAAAATAAAAGGGATTTAGCAGTGGCATTTCTACAGAGTAGCTATTCATCCACTGTAATTCCAATTGGAATTTAGGAGTTGATTTTTTCGGAGGGAGGAAAGCCGGGGAACCCGGAAAACCCTCGAAGCACAGGAGAGAACTAACAAACAACTCTACTCTTATAAGTCATTTTTAGACATGCAAAATCCTTCGTCAAGCTYTAATCAAAAATATAAGTTGTGGAATTATAAATTTGACCGAAAATATTGAATATTGAACCTTGTAGTAAAATATATTGATCAAAGGTTTTGTTCATATTTTTCCGGCTTTTTCTTCTTCTTTTCTCTTTTCTTTTCCCTTGAAATAGTTTGCCTCTCTACTCAGTTCATCTCCCACCAAAACTCCCAAATTCCACTGAAGGAAAAAAGGAAAATTATGTTCCCAAAGGCGAAACAATGAAATCCTCCTCCCATAAATCTTCAATTTTATGCAATTTTGAAAAATTGACATCGAATCAAATCTCAAACCTTAACTAACTTTGTTAAGGTAATGGTATTTTTATCTTGTTTTTACAAAAATTTTCCTTATATTTTCGCTTCGATTTTTTCTTGTCGAAAAAAATGATCTCCGCTTTATAATTTAGTAACATTATAATTTCCACAAACATATTCTTTTAACTGGCTTGCTTGATGGTATACAAGTAGTATTATATTTATATGAACTGTCCTTCGTTATTCGTTACTTAGTGTATTTTTCTGATTGATTAAACCAAAAAAAAACACTAATTTGTCTGTCTTTGCGGACTTTTTTAATTAGACTATAGCTTATATAATTTTCATAGTTTTTACTTATCTTACTTTATTCAGTATATTGTGTTAATATCTATACATTGTTTGCGAGGCTCAGCCAGAATCTGTACTGTTCAACAATCGGCATAGTTTACAATAAAGGACTGAACACTTGTGAAGAAGAATCGGCATCTCACATGTAAGAAGAGTTTTTTAGGTCTTTTCCTTTATTTAAGAATTTTTCTCGATAAAAATTTGAAGTTTTTTTAAAACTAGGCACTTCCTCAAAACGTTTCACTGATTCGTGTGAAATTGGTCACGTAAAAGACCTGTAGCCGATGGAAGAGGTTTGCCAATGGACGCTCAAGAAATGGGCTTTAGATGAAGCCTGTGAACATATCCAAAGATATCTTCGAATATTTCTCTTTTTTTTCACTTTGTTCTTGTTCCTGGCGGCACGTTCCATGATTTAATGAGACGTAAAAAGAGCTGAATATACCTTCTTAATTCAACGCGTATTTTTATGTAGTATATCAAGGCACACGAGATACTAAATGAACTTAGGGCGGATGCATCTACTCTAATATAAGAGAATATGACTTCATCTCCGTCTTTTCCTAAGTAGTATATCACTGGTACTAATGCCAGACAGAAATATCAGTCCCCTTGATTAAGYACCTCGCACATATCTAGAGTATTATAGGAAGGCGGTCTGTCTTTGGGTCTATAAATTCCAGACTTCTCAAAAGCCTGTCAACCCAAAATCTGGTCTCGAAGATCGAAACTTGGTCTGCTTTTTGATTGAATGAAAAGTAAGATGAAAGTATTAMCATAGAAACCAATAATAAGAAAAATGGGGAAAATCCAAGATGGCGGCTATGACGTCACGGAGACTCACTGACAGCTGTTGAAATTACGATCAAATGGCAATATATTTCAGTTTTAATCAAGTCAAGTCAGATCCCTATTGTGTTATGGTTAAATATCCTATAATCGCTGACGAATGTTATGGCGGAAGAGTAGGTTGGTAGGAGTAGGAAGAGTAGGAAGGAATAAAATACTGAGGTCGACCAAGTGAAAGGTCTGACATGTGCAGAATGTGGCTTGAACGATGAAAAAATTCTTTGATTTTATCAAATCTCTGGGGTGATCTAAGTCAGGGCATTGCTAACTCACAGATCAAACCCTGAAACAACCTCTGGGCTGATCTAAGTCAGGGCACGGCTAACTCACAGAACAAATWGGGAATTAACGTGTTGGGTTTTGCGGAGAAAGAAAATCAGAAGAACCCCGAGAGAAACCCTTAAATCAACATCGAAAAGGCTCTGTTACAAAAAATTGTTGATCTGTGAAGTTGATGACTGGCTGTACAGGATACCGTGAGCCATTCTGTACTTCGGTTCTATATTTAGTAGAGGTGTAATTCAATGATGAAATTCAATGAAGTGTTTAAGTCCCTTAATTGGTAAATATCCCGAGTATATCAGGATTATCCTAAATAAATATGATGCCTATAACGTATATCCAAAAAGATCAGACTAGCTAAGACTGGAAACTTAAACCGGGCACTAAAACTTTAGGAAAACTCTTGCACTCGAAAAAATTGGCTCCTTATTTTACTACGTAATTATAAAGCCGTAATAACGGACGTTGATAGTCCAAGGCTAGCAGATTTAGTAGCTTGAATACTGTGATTAATTTAATTTTTCTTATTATTTTAAGATTAATTTTTCTCGGAAAATAATAATTAAGAGCARAGAGAGAGAGAGATGGAAAGGGAGGGTTGGAGTAAAGAGGCACTGCGGGAAAACCGGCTGAAAAAGAAGTAGAAGCACGAGAAATACTATAGAAAACACCTTTTTTGATATTCATATTCTGTTAGCTTCCCATGTTTTTTTGTCCACGTTTTCCTCTGACTCTAGCCTCAAATAAAGATCTTGATAAATACATGCGTTTTAGGGAATGACAACATAAATTGCGATGCTTATATTTTAGGTCGTGGAATAAAAAATAAAATTATACATTTGAACTAGTCACATTTGTGCATTGATGACTTTTTTCGATTAAACTTTCGTAAGGGCGTGTTCACACTTGGTTTCTGAGTACGATGCCTGAAGTACAATTCCTACTGAGCATTAATATAAACACAGTTTAACTTGAAGTATCCGCACTAAAATACAAGGACGAGTCCCGTGCCCATCAGTACACGGTTGGGAYCTCGTACTCTGGCACAAAGTGTCCAAGCAACATAAGTATGAACACCCTTTTCATTTTAAATTTTTCTCATCTTTAAAATCCCAGCAGACTGATTATCTCGTTTCTCGAACCGTTAAAACTGCCATTGATTTTCTTTGCTCGATTTTCTCCTGAACTACTTTTTTTTTTTTACTTTATTTTATTTATTTTTAACTACGAGATTAAATAAATGAAATTTTTGTTTTTCCTCCTTTTATATGCTTTCTTGGTTTTAATGAATTTTTTGATCGAAAATGGACTTCAAAATTTGAAATGTAAACGTAGAGCGTCATGTTAATATACACTGTCACCTCATGATTGCTCACAGCGTTATRTAAGATAGAAATTTCATATACCATCACAAGTATTCATTATTTACCTTACACACAAAAAAGATATTGGTTTTATCAATTATAAAACATTTCAGTTAAATTATCCTAGTTTTCCCTTCTAAAGAGCTCGTTAAAATTTACCACGACGACTTCTTAAATAATTAAAAAYAATCAATTTGTTTTAAAATTGGTTTATTCAAAAATGTAAAATTAGTGGAATTTAAAGTATAAAGAAAWAAAAAAWWWWTTTTTTWAATTTATAGCAAATTTTATAACGAAAGTTAATGTTCTCTCTCGTCGAGGTTTTTCAGCTTCCACTTGTTCGTGTTCCGGTGAGTTCTTCGACGGTCCCAAAGCAAACATTGCTTCCTACCGCACTTGATCTAATTGAAGGTCAACAGCTCTTTCAGCAAGAGAACAAATATCTTAATTTCTTAGTCTATTTTTTTAAATTTCTTCTTCGTCACTTTGGAATGCTTTTCACCAACGCATCAAAACTGTACCAGAATATAGTACACTGTGTGGGCGTCGAACTATTCAGCGCGCTCTTTCAGTTAGTCCTTTGAATTAACTTCCTTCAGTTATTGAACACCTTAAAACTGACCTCGTGATACAATATTGCAAGGTTTACCAAACTTAATTTTGGTGTTTGATTTGATTTCGACAATCACTCGTGATTCAGTTTCTCCGATGCTTTTTGATGAGTTTCTGTCTATGCCTGGCTAAGGTTACAAATAAATTGTAAATATAAAATGACAATAGATAGTTATCACTATTCAGCATGTTACAATTTCTTGACCAAAGTATTGATTCCAATCTCGACACTGTAGCATGATTGTATTAGTGTTTTTCTGTTTGCCGGAGAGCCCTCTTGAACGACGGTAGGTCATTCTTTTTTAATTTTCCTAAACTGAATAATGAGAGGTTTTTGTAAAGCATTTTCTAGTGCTTCCTTTAGGAAGGAAATTGATGTACTTTTCATTATTAGGCATAACCCTACTCCTCGAGAATTCATATCCAAAGCACTATTGGTGTCAAATTTAGAGCACTAACGTCATCTGATAAGAATTGGAACCAATTAATGTACCACTGTATTCAGTGAGACCCTATATCCTTTAGGCACCTGTCTTATTGCCTTGTGAACATATAAAAAGACGCTATCTGCCACAGCTCTACACATAGTTTGCCAGCAAAGCCAACACAGTTCCAGAACAGCACAGATATGGCATCAAACAAGACGATTCTGATCAGCCTTGGCGTAGCACTGTTCTTACTCTCTTGCATGTTAACACCGACCCATGGATTGTTTCCTGGAGTTAGCTATGGCAAAAGGAATATGGTAAGAAGATTTTAACGTAAATCTGGTGTAATTCCTACCAGCCCTCTCTTCTTCTTCTTCTTCTTCTTCTTCTTCTTCTTCTTTTTGGCGTACTTACTTTAAATCACAATGTCAAACCAGTTAAACTCTAAAAACTCTTTGGACAACTCTAATTAATTAAACAAATGTAACTCAAATTAATATAGTAGCGGCCAGCGGAGAAGATCGATTGAGTAGTAGACAAGAGAAGAGAAAAGGATTATGCTCGGTTCTCGGTGTGACGACTCTCTCAGTRATACTCGGTTCTATTCAGTGACATCAATGTGAAAAACAATTTGAAAAAGTGTTACTTAATATTGAATTAAAAGTTTTATGACCAATGTTATGCCGGCAAGGTTTTAAAAAAAAGTATTTTTTWAAAAACCAAGTGTTAACTTTCTGATCACAAAGCAATTCAGTTAATAGCATTTTTCACGACAATTTGACAAATGCCGTTCAATTTGAATTATTTTAGTATTAACTCAAAATGGCAATATATGAGAATTTTGAAGTGAAAGGTTCCATAGATTCGAATGATGCTTTAATTTCAAAACAATTATTTATTATATCATTGATTTAGGAGAAATGTGCATGTTTTTCTAATCAATATTTCAAACGCCGTTTGTCCAAAAATGCTAATGGCAGTTTTGAAGGAATGATTTTCCATAAATTCGAAGGATTATAAATTCTAACATTGGGTATTAAAACAAATTAAAATTGGTAACTCTCCATGCCGAAGAATAAAACTTGCAGCCAGATAAGATGAAGAAATTGCATGATTAATAAAAAATTTGTTCCCAGAACTGTCCGGCTAGTATGATCTTCTATTATTTCAAAACTTTGTAAAAACTCTGCCGAAATTTTTTTGCTTTCAAAATAGCAAGATTTTTTTTTTTTTTTTTTGCTCCGACTTAGGACTTGATTATATAAAATATCTTTGGGTTCCTAAGGTTTGCTTCTCCAGTTCATTGTTTGGTGAACTTGGACTACACTTTGTGACGGAAATAGGATACGGTTAAAGACAAGAACGGAAAACCATTTACATGTCATTTCTTTTCCTATCCAACCATTTACATGTCATTTCTTGTCGTAATACCATATTCAAAGCACAACTGATGTCATGCGAAGTCTGGTGACAGATTAACTGACTGATTGTAGCCACTTTATTGCAATTACGACTATAAAGAACTTTGATCATTATCGTTTTTAATACTTGTCCTTCGTTCACTCTTCCTCTTCTCTTTCTTTACTTGTTGAAGTGTCTTATTAAGTCTTGTGTTTCATGAACGTACGGATTTTGGACTAATCCAGGACATTACGCAGGACGCATTTGTCTGGATGGACTTTTAACTTGGTTTTTCATATTCTTTCCTCTTCTTCTCCCCTTTCTTAATTAATCTCATGCTTTTAAAGTATCCCTCGCTTACACAATGCAGGCAGTCCTTTGAAGTTTGTTTTTATGCGCAGGAAAAAATGAACTTTAGAGATTTGAAAAAAAAAGATTCCCCTTTGTGATAACTAAACATTGCGTTAATGCTGTGCTTATCAAGGTTATTTGGATTGCTCATAACATCAGCAAACACGACATTTATATTTTCCTTCTCTTAATTTCTTTTTTCTTTCTTTTTTCATTTATGTTTTTCTCGCTCCTTAAAAACTTGCGTTTTAAGTACTTTCCGAGTAAATGTTCACATTTTGGTTACCAAATATACARCAAATTTGAATCACTAATATATGTTTTTAATTTTCCAGCATCCAAATGAAGAGGTCCTGGCAATCAGACAAAGAATTTGCCAAGCAACTCAGTTTTTACGGTGTGGTGAAGACCTCTCCGACGCTATGGATACCAGGACCTCAGAYCAACGAAGAACAACTATTCGCAACGCACGACATTAACTCTTGCAAGACTAAGACTAGCTTGGCTGACAACCACATAGATATTTTTTCAAGATAAAGATAATTGATGAAGACGTCATGAAACTACAAATATCCATTTATCTATTTGCTAGAAGCCGTGTTAATACACTTTTTAAAAAAGATGTACACAGACGTGCCAGAGTGATGATCGAAGCATATAGATGTTTGTTTTCTTGAGTGTATAAAATAATGGATTTGTATATCTTGTTAAAGTGTATTTATGATTGTTGCACTAGTTTAATATTTGCATTAATTGAATATTAAAAAATACAATCATCAAAAGAAAAAGTCTACTACTGAAGAGACTGGGTTCTAGGGGAGAGTTAGTGACGTCATAGCAGTAACCAACGCACTTGAACCAACTTTAAACGCACCACAATGAGTAGTATATTATATCTTAGAGTATCTTCGGGTATTCAGTGATGGTAGTGATGACTGAGGGACTTTATACTGATGGTAACCTCGCCGATAACACACAAAAATTATGGGATATCCYCCCTGATATTTTTTTCGGAAAGCCCTAGTTATATATATATATATTCCATTCCTCTGCATGTTCAGTGATGTACCATCAGTAGTGCCTCAGTCATTACTTACCTTGTCCATCATATACATATGAA